CCCTGGTATGTGCCGCGCGATATCCCCGCGTATGGCTCATGAACAAAATCCCAATGTAGGCCCTGCGGGTTATTAATCTTGTGTGCTCGATAGGCGACGATTAATGAAATATACCGAAGAGATTCGTGTGACTCGAGCCGCGAATCTCGAACGTGTATGCAGATCCGATATTTTCACCAACATCTACATCTACGCATAAGATTTTTGCCATGATTTTTTCTTCTCTCTCTTTCTCTCTCTCTCTCTCTCTCTCCCTTTTTTTAATACGCTTGTACTCGATGTTATACCACAGTTATCGATTACAAAGGTACCCGCACATATTATATCGTGTTGATTTTTTTCGGGGCCTCGGCAATTTTTTTAATATTATAATTATGGGATAAGCACGTACATGATCCAGAAACTTTTTCCTTTCAACTCTCGTAAATAAAAATTACGCCAAAAGTCATACGGCGTTGAGCAAGGCAAAAATTGCAAAAAATTTAACGAGCATCAAGCATGAAAACACGATGTTTTTCAAAAGACAGTATACGTTCATGTATGAGGTGCACATGCATTTATATTCAAAGTAAGCCAACTTTCTAACCCATCAAAATCCCCCTTTTCAAATCTTCGAAGCATCTTTCTCTATCAGCTGGCTTGTCTCGAGTTCCTTTCAATCGTTGCGTACATTTAAGAAAGCTTTTGCGCATCGTGAAGGAGAAAGATTAATACCAGGAGAATCAAAGAGCCGTTGCTTCTTTGGGAAAAATTAGCAGTGACGACGATCTTATAAGTGCTTAAATTTCTTGCTTAATTCGATGCACTCGTATAGGAAAACTGTTCAAATCATCCTTGAACCGGAAGCTTATACGTAGCGACTAAAGTGCTAAAGCGGAAATCAGCACCGAACTGATTAGGGAACAAAGAGCGACGAGCGAGATGCTCGCTACTTCAAGAAAACAGCAGATCGATGTACTGTAGCCGCATATGTAAGAGACGCGCCTCGAGAGTAAATCGGGTAATAGAGAGTATGTGTTTGTGTGTATGTGTGTGCATTGATGTGAGTACGTATGTAAAGCCGAACAATAGCTAAGTCTTCGATATAGGCTTTCTGCGGAGGTGGATTATAAAGCTATATAGCCGCGCAGAGAGAAAGAAGGGAGAGTCAAGACGAAGAGCTGCAGCTTCTGTGGGAATTGTCTGTGTAAAGTTGCAGCACGTTTCGCGGGATCTCTCTTTTGCATTCTCTCCTCTTCTTTCAACTGCTACTTCTGTAACCTTAGTTTTCAGCTGTTTGCGTATATATTTGCACAATTACTACAAGCAAAAGTCGAGAAATTGATTAAGTGATTTTTTAAGGACACACGTAAACGCCTTTAAAATAATCGTTTTTGCTCGTAATCTTATTTCCACAAATATTCCTTATTTTGTTCATTTTCAAGATTAAAAACAAAATTGAATAGCTGTGCGGACAAAAAATATTTTCGTTTATTAACCAAGAATGAAATCAGTGAATTATTTGGCTACGTGATTCGTGTTTTTTTTATTTAATTTTGGAAGCTATCATTTAACATTCATCACTATTAATTATTTATAATTGATTCGAAGATAAAAATCGCTGATTCCTCTGTATGTTTTATAAAGTCATCACTGCTGGCTGAACCACCTACATTAAAATATTAAAATTCAAGTTGAAATTTTGTATGTTATGCGAATACTTTTGAATTAGCATAATTGCGCGATATGGCAACGAGCAGCCTGTCACCAAAGGTGCGCAATATTTGTTTTATGCTGATTTGTAAAAATTTAAAACTTCCATCTTTTATAAGTCTTATCAATAAAATTCAGAATGAATGCGTACATAAATTAATAAAATCATCACAACGAAATGTTTCGAGCTGTTTTTTAAATGAAAAGACAGATCAAATTAATTTTATATCTTTTCCACTCCTTCTGAAAGAAAGATTTGTTCAATAATAATTAACACTAAACTTTATAAAGAATAAAATGAAAAAAAAAAAGAAAAGAATAGTTGAGGTGTAAAATGATGGAGAAGGGCTTTGCAGTTCGAATAACATAAAAAGGTTAGATGACTTTTGAAGGATACCGCCTAACATAATGTGCTTTCATATTTCGGCGAAGCATGTGTGGAATTCGACAGACTGTAAATCCTTCTACGGTGCAGTAGAATCGAGATATCCACTAATGAGAAGAGTTGCTCCAGGATTAGCTGTTTCTTATTCATTTTGCATTGTTACTGTTCGTCTTCTTCAGACTTATATAATATGTATTAAATATTTTTCTCGTTGAGATGTTTTTTTCTAGTTGTATACGGTAGCGAATTTTTGCGCAAAACGATGCGAAAGCTATCGTAAAATCTTCTTAACGATCTAGCTTTTTAATTATAATATAATAACAGTACCATAAACTCTGGTAAAGGTATTATGTCACGAAAAATGGTTATAGGCTCATTTTATGACTCAAACTAAACCAAGTAATTCATTAATAAATAGTCAAGTGTAAAAAATGCACGCTTTTATGACTAATTATAGAGAAGCTATTATAAGTCAAAAGATTATGAGAAATCGAAGATGCTAAACGGTTGGGAAGTGTATAATCCGCGTGAAGGGAGCCTCAACTTTCCTAGCACAACTGGGACCTTTTGTTCGATCTCACCTTGCCACCGGTGTTAAGCAAGATTAATCGCGAGTCGCAATGCAAAAAACCGAAGGTTACGTTGCGAAGCCGAAAAAGCGATCAATGTGCCAAAAAATTTAGAATTAGGAGCTTGGGCTAGTGGGCGGAGAAGAAGAAAGATGAAATGCAATAAGAGTTACCGCCGTGAGAGAAGCGATGACACGCTTCAAAGGTTTCCTGTTACAGAGTTATTTTCTCGTTCAGTCAGAGAGAAAGAGAAAGAGAGAGAGAGAGAGAGAGTCGAGAGGATAAGGACAAGAATGATGATTCGCTTATATTGCGCCATATCAAAGGCTCGTTATGGCTTCTCACATGTGCGTATGCACATACGAACGAATATAATACGCACCAATACATGCACATGTAGACAAACACATTCGTTTCGAGCGATAAGTTTTTTTTCTTTACGAGGCAGCGATGAATCTCAATGAGATATATATTTCGTTTTCTGCTTTCGGCACGCACAGCAGCATCATTTTGATTATATATTCAAAACTGCTTCTTGGCTTTTTCACACTCGCCAATGCCTCTTTCTCACGATTCCTTGGTGATAATAATGATGACAACAACGCGACGCTGATGAGCACAAGAGTAAAATATGTAAAAAGGTGTGACGAAAGTTCAATATTTTTAACTCAACGAGACATCGGCATTTCGGCACAGCCGATTTTGTGTTTATTATTTCCGATGATTGTGCGTAGACATAGACGTTAAAGCAAGTACAATAGGAAGTATTAACCAGTAATTTTACTAGGAAATCATTATGGATATTATTAAACGTTTTTATTTTTTAATTTAACAGCAATTAGTTTGACTGAGCTAATGACATAAATCAAAGTAAAACCGCCTACTATTAAAGTGCTCAAGTACACACGACCATAAAACACTCGTGATATTTACTTTTTTGAGCGGGCGCGATTTGCATGTATCATCCACGATATAATTTAATTAGCGCTGTCAAAAGAAATTAAGACTGTGCTTTGTGTTTTAATTTTCCGAAACGCGTTCAAACGCGTCTAGCTGCGAGTGCGGAATCCGACGCAGTTCAAGGTCGAAAAAACTAAAAAGAAAGTTAACAATTTACAGGACTCGATTGTGAAACGATGTTTCGGCGAAGCGAGCGAAAAGGAAAAGAGAGGAAAGGGAGCGAGAAAAATGGTGCCCTTTTTTTAAAGAGGCCCTCAAGAGCCGCTACGTGCAGTGAATAGCTCGGTGAAGTCTCGACGATGTGGAGCCCTCCGGCGCTTGCCGCGGCACAGTATGCAGCCTAAACACTTTTAAATGGCATGTGTATACACTTGTGCGCCCGCAGTGTACATTTAGAGCGTTTTCGAGGACAGGGGCGCGCATTGCGAGTGCTTTCTCTTTTTGCCTGATTTTTTGACAAAAGCCTGTCGTGCCGTGTCGCTGTCGCATTTTTTCTACGAGCATTATATGCATTAAAAGACCCTTTACAAGTACCGTTTCATTAAGTAGCATTAATTAAAGTTATTGTTTGCAGGAAAAAAATTGCATAGCTCTGTCACGTGTTCTTGTGTGCGCTTACTCGTAAAGCCTACTTTGGATCAAGTATTTTATAATATAACATATTTATATAATTAAATAAATGTTTCCGGCAACGAGGCGTGAAATAATGCATTATCGTCGTGCCTGATTATAACGATATGCATAAGCTTTGAATTTTCTCAAGCCGCTCAACTGCTACTTCTTGTCATCGTTATTCGCTCAAATCGAACTTGTCAAGCAAAGTACGTACACCGCACGAGAAGAGACGAGAAAAAAAAGGAAGAAAAAAAGAAGAGATGAACGTCGTCAAGATGACACATGTGCACAAGCAGACTAACGCGACACACGCAGCGCAAAAGTACAGCGAACTCTTGTACCGTCGCTGGTTACAAGCGGCTACGAGTGGGCAGTGTGTTTAATGACAAACACGGCTGCACTCGACTACGTCGTCTTCGTCGTTGTCGCTGGCAATTCGAACTGTTTTTAAGCAAAGAGTCGAGAGTTTATTTGAACGCCGCAGTCGCGAACCAGTCGCAGATCGGATGACCACGTGCAGGATAAGTTAATATTATTTTCGCGAAAGAATAAAACTGACATATTTAGAATGCTGTAAGCACGCGAGAATGACTCGTGCGCACTTTTGCTTTTTTGTACAAGTTCATCGTGCGCACTTGAGCTCTAAAATTTGGGAAACCTTAATGCTCGATTCGTTCGAGAAACTCGATGCTTTTATTTACATCGTTATCTCGACGTGTTGTCGAAAAAAATAAAATAAATAAATGAATCAATGCAAGAAGTAATATATTTGCACTTACGGTCCATCTGAAGGTAAAATGTAGTTGAAGCGTCACAGGCTCCGTGAGTGTGAAGGTATTCTGGCCGAGTGCATGACTAGATACATTGCCGAAGCTGCAGGAGCCGATTGCCGTGACATTGGACTGGTACTCCTTTAGGCACAGCCAAAAGGCCGTGGTACATGGTGTTTTGCAGGGCGGGTGATCCCTGTAATGTGTGTGATGATGCTGCAGCGCTTGATTGTAGCCTCCGCTGTTGCTACTGCTGCTGGTGCTGTCGCCATTGGCTAGACTGGTGGCGCTGACTATGCTACGGCCACCGCCGCCGCAGCAACGCCCGTCCACCAGTGTGCCCCGGTTGTTCGTTAACGAGAGGATTTGAACCTCGAAATTTCCGCTACCGGTTGTCGCCTGCAAACACAAGAGAGAATAACAATTTATTACATGAAACAACCTTCATTAACACCTATCTGTTTAGCGCGAAACATCTTTCGCTAAATGGCTTTTTATTCGGAGCAATTTTTCGCCGCGAAGATCGAAGATAGGACGCGAGCATCAGAAAAAAACCGTCTGATTATTATGTCGGAGCACGCGCATAAAAACCTACTTTACTCTCTTCTCCGAATCGTCCTGTCCCGCATATGTGCGTTTGCTACTTGGCGTACGTATACCTGAGGGAAAATAATACTCTCTCACAGTTATTAATACACGATTTACACACAATGATGGCGTTGACGTGCTGTACACACGCATACGTATTAAAAGCACTTCGCAGGCTCTGATGGGAGAATATTTAGCTCGGAGCAAGTGTGTGTTTAACTTATGCTATCGCTGAATTAGCGAGTAACATTGTAATCGACATTGTAATCGACGAGTAAAACATTTTTTAAGCTGAATGTTTCGGTTAAAGAACGAACGTAATCTACTCCAGATCCCAGAGGAAAGCTTTGAATTTTTGCAAAGTGATGTAGGTTTTTTTCAAAATTATTCTCCTTGCAATCAAAGACAGAATCCTAAGTGAATTAGATTAACACAGCTCTGGAAAATGAATCACATCTGGTGCTTAAATATATTACAAGCTCGAGATAGAAGAAAGCCGGACTCGAGGCTAACGTAATCGCGCGGGTGCTGCGACCGAAGAAACTCTCATTAGGTTGGCTCGGTCTCTTATTCTCCTTTTTTTTTCCATTGCATGCATTATCCAACAAAACGTCGACAAATGGCACAGTTTAGCCAAGCGCATCTCGCGCGGGCTGCGCATTACAAAACCACTGCACGCGTGAAAACATCCTGCAACGGAAGTGCGTGCCGCAGTAGCACATACACACGAGAGAGAGACCTATTACGGCGCGTTTTCTCATTCCCTCTGTTTGTATTACGCTGCGAGAGATACATACATACATACCTGGCGTCGTCTCGTTGTTTTACCTCATTTGACTCGCGAATCCAATATACGTATACGCGGCCGAGGTAATTACAATTTCGCCGGGATGGACTCGGGGGTATTTACTTATGTGCACAGAGTTGCGCTAGCTTTCGGGAAGGAAATGAGTTCCGCTCGAGATTTTTAATTCATTCCAAGCGAATCCGTCGAGAGTTAAAACTCATGTGTATAAGAGATCACCCGCATAAAACGCTGGTGCTGGTGGACCTATATACTTTCAATTCATCCATCACGAGGTGCGCATGTGCTCAAATAAGTTTATAACTTTTGTCAGAGATTGTAACTGCTCGCGCTCTATACAATGCGACGATTTCGTTGCATATACAGATACTGCACAGAAACAACAATCGCGTATTTAACAAAGCTAAAGCTATAGAAACACACCTCCAAAAGCGAGTCGTTTGATCTGATATCTCGAATTTCAAATAATCTAGCCAGCAAAAGTGCAAGCACGATTTCCACAGCGGCTCTCGTGAGCGCAAGAGGTCCCCCGAGGAAAACAATAAACAAACACATCTACACATGCATATATAGTATTTGCAGCATCTTCGCGAGTATGTGCGTGTGCAATTGCGTAAGTTCGACGCTGCTGCCTCATATGTGCCGTATGTGTATAGTCGAAAGTCGAGTAGAGGAAAATGACTCGGGCCGACAATCAAAACATAAACAACAAAAGAGCATCGACACAGTATAATTGGAGGAGAGAGAGAGAGAGAGAGAGAAAGAAGGAGAGATCGCACGGATGCACAATTATCGTGCACATATATAGCGAGTCTTGCCGCGCGCGCTTATATGTGTGGCCATATAAGAGAGCGAAAGGGACTATTCTATATTCTCGTTCGAGCGAATGCGAGGGTGTATTATAGAAAGTTACGGATCGTCCTCTTGGCCTCTAGTTTTCCATGCACATCATGCATGCTGCGCGTGTATATATGTATTTATAAAGTCTGTCTATATGTATCTGTATGCAGCTTACACACATACGTGGATACGTGTACATCAACTTACGTAAGTTATATATACTCGTGAATCTCTTTCTCTTTTAGTCGAGAGACTCGGTTCGACTCTCGCTCGCTGCAGCTAACTCGAGTCTACACATTATAAGCTCCACTAGCACTGATGGAATAGACTGTAAATGTGTATTTATAAAACCAACTACGTGACCGTACGCGCGCCTGTGTGTGTGTGTGTGTATGTGGATACGTGTGTGTTTGTACACGTATGTATATATTAATGTATGAACAAGCTCCGAAGAGACGCGCTACAACGCGCGAGAGACAACACATATATAATATCGGCAAAATATGTAGCGACGAGGAGTACCAACGAGAGAGGATTAGTTGATGAGTACTGCAGCCGCGCGAGTATGTGTATATTGCACCGGGGACGTCTGAGCAAAGAAAGACAGAGCGAGAGATAGGAAAAGAATTTGCACCGATGCTCTTTCTATAGGCAGAAAGACAATTTTACGATGTTTACGGACGAAACGCCAATATAAGGGAATGACTGCGCTGTGCACGTAGTACTGCAACAGAGAACAGAAGAAATTTTGTTGGAAATTTTCATGTGCTTGCTTGCTTTTCATAAAATAGGCGAGCGCTTTACAAGCTCGCGATGATTCCGAGAAAATTGTTTGACGCCTATTTTTGATTCGTAAGAAACAAACGAAGCACGCGTTTACCTGCACCCAGCTACATATATTGCTTTAAAACTTCAAGATTTTAAGTGTAGCAAATGTAAGTTTTACTCTCTGCCGCTGTCCATTGTCTCTCTAATTAAAAAACTTGAATGAATCAGAAGCGATAGACCTCGACTATGAACCGACTGCGATATTTGTGATTCGACGCGTCTCGCCTGGTGATACTGCTTATGGAAATGCTATGGCGCCATCTTCAGCACAAACGGCATCACGAGTAAATCATATCCACTTGCAACGACGAAAAACCCACGGACGAGGTCACGTTCAAACGTCAGAATAACAAGTTTATAAAACCACGCGTGCGCGGCCCTAACGAAGATGAAACTTTTTCCATCTCGCGTGATTTTTTCTTGTGTGCTAATGCAACAAAAAATCGCGCGCTTACAAGCACATAATATATAACTCTTTTATAAAGAGAGAATATAGAAAAGAAAGTTGTGCTTAACGCTCGACGTTCGATGCCCCGATGTGCATGCACTGTGGCACTTAGTATCACGTTCCTCGGCTTATTATGTGTGTCTGTGTTCTTAATCTCCGCGAACTGTCGTTGTTCGATCAGCTGCTTCGTTATGAAGCTCGAGAGTCTATCACTGTAATTTGAATTCGCGCGATTATAATTTATTGTTCTCGTTGTCTTCGCTCGTTTTCGCGCATACAACGTCAGACACATAGCTCGAGAGCTAAATCTTTTTTCGCTCAAGGAATAAAGGCTTGAATTCTGCGAGCGAGGGCTTTTTTGTCATTATTTCCTCTATTGCATTCTATCACCTTGCTCGGAAGGCGAGTTCTCGTTTTCATTTTGCGCTTGTACACGTTTACGAATACACTTTGTACACGTACAGGTTACGTAAGACGTGGAAAATTACGCGCCGAGAATAAAATACGAGGATGGTTTAGCAACAATGAGGACAAAAAAAGGCAGAGCATTTCCTTTCTATACGGACGAGGCTGCGAAGATGATTTTACACGATATAAAGTATACGATCCAGACGTGCGCATGCTATATCATGCATAGAACGGGCTTAAAGAAACTTTCACCTCTCAAGCAAGCATTTTTTACGTTGACTAATTAGGCTGTATTAATTAAACACCTCGTTTAAGTGATTATCCCACGCGTATGGTTGGTATAAAGATACATAAGTGCTGTGTGGACTACAGGTAAATGCTACTTTAACACTTCTATCGCCTCGGCAACTTTTTCGCTAATTTGCTATTGAAGTTTCAGTAAATGTTATTTCACCAAACGATGATGGAATTATCGTTATGTTTCCCAATCGTGAGCAACGTCAGCTTCTAATGATTTTAATGGTATGCCTCGGTATTGGTTGAGAATTTATCAAAATCTTGACGAATTATAATTCAGTAAACGTAGCTGGTCGAAGTTAACTCGCTCTACTGTACCGATCTTTTGGTATGCGCCTCGCTGACTGTAGTTACACGTCACCTTACCTAAAAATCGTTTACCGAAGGAAAGTGCGCGCAGTGAAAAAAGAAGAATAATGTAGCTCCGTACATTTACAAATTAAGCAGGTGTGCGTGCGACAAATGGTAATGAGCTATGCGATTTTGCACACAAGCAATCGAAAAATGCGTAAGTCATCGACGAGCCTTCGTTGATTGAAATTCTTTTCGGCATCGTTGATATCGCTGATACTGTTTAGGCTCCGCCTTCTAAATGCCGGTTTAAATTTATCTCAATTAAAGGCACAGGCAGTACGCAAATAGCGGAATAGGAAAAATACCGTAGTCTGATTGGGCTGGAGTTTCCCAAAAAATTCATTCTAGGATATTTATATATATCTTCCGCATAAATAATGCACGAATCTGCAGTCCATGTGACGATTTTGCCGTGCCAGCCAGCTCGCGTCAAACCGGCCTTTATCGCGCGTTATATCTCAATTGGGTGGCCGCACGCAGCTTCCGCTTGCGTTAACCAACCTCTTTTTTTTTTTTTTTTAATTCGTCGGTTTCATCTCAGAGTAGGAGAGATTTATATTTACGATCTTGCTGAGATGCAAGACGATTTCGTAGGTCCATGCAGCGAGGTTTTATTTCTAGTCGAGTAGGTTTTTTTTTATTAATTGAGACATTGCGAAAGAAAGTACCGGCCTCGACTCGAGTGAGCGAATGCGGTTGGTTTTCAATGAAAATGTCGCGTCGATTTACGTGAAAGATCGTCGTACGAGATAAAGTTGGAAGCGACTCGAGGCGCTCGTTGCATGATTCAGACGCAAATCTAGCCATTTGTTCCGATGAGACAAACTTTTT